AGTGAATACTAAATTTATTTATTTGCATATACTGTATATCAATAAATATAATTATAATAATTTAAATATAAATTATATTATAATGTTATTAATATGAAAATGATTGCATACTTAAAACATTTCCAACGAGCGGAAGTGGAGTAGGCCCAGGTGGATAATTATTAAGGTTTGAGTAAAATGTGATTAAATAATAAATTACCATGCCAATTATTAGACTCAAAATAGCGCTGGTAACAAAAATCTGGTTGCTATATATTTAAATTAAATTAATTCCTGTAATTTTTAATTGTTAAAAGATCTCTCTCTCTCTCTCTCTCTCTCTCTCTCTCTCACTCACTCACTCACTCACTCACTCACTCATCCAATTAATTAAATATTATCATTATAAATGATTTTATTTTAATCAACAATTTTTATAATTTACCTTAATACGTCCATCATAATTTAGTCAAACTAAATTACAGTAAAACGAACATCAATGTTAATTAATATTGGTTCACATAAAAATTAAGTGCCGTTAAAATAAATATATACCAACATTAAATTTCTGATCCAGTTGTGGTTGATGCGGTCGTGTCCGGTGTTGTATGGAGATGTATATTCTATTGTAAGAACGTGCGAATGGCCATAAACACCGAAGTTATGACTAAATTTCTAACCATTTGCATATGCATTATATTAACTATACTTTTGGTTAATGGCATTACTCATACTATGAGTCTATAGCGTTGCCAGAAATATTTTGACATTTCTTGGAAAATTTGATAATTTTGTGTAAAATTCCTGAATTTTCCTGGATTTAAGTTACCACTTACTTTAAAAATACATATGTTGATATTATGAGTAAATTATGTAATAACACGTCTGTTTCAAAGGGTTTTAAATGGTTACAGATAGACAATGTGACATTGATTACAAATGGTTATACACTACTATTATTGCCGAGACCTATAGATTTAATTGAAAATACACCAAGCTACAACTATAGAGTTTGTTACATAATATTTTTACAGCTCATTTATCCAAAATTTACTTACTGGATTTTTCAATGTCTAGAAATTACTTCTAAATGACTGCAAAAATTGACAATTTCCAGGATAATTCAGGACGTTCTGGTAATCCTAATTACTTATGTGAAAAGCCATTTTTAATGCATTTAATCCCATGCAAGTGGCTATCAATTTGACCATAACTTACCGTGTTTGTTGCCATTTGCACGTTCTGACAAACGAACATATGCTATTAAAACTTTATTATTGCTTTAGTTTTAAATAATTTATCGTACTTATATTAGTTTTAACAATAATTTTTGATAGATAAATAATCTGCATTTAACTTTGATATTTATTTGCTGCTATTATAATACATATCAATTATTTATAAAACAGTAATCACAAGTATTTTTAAACAAATAACAAACAAATATCAAATTTTATAAATATTGGAGTAAAGAAATTGTATCAATAATTTATAATGATCTAAATATTATTTGATATGGCTTAGGCATTTGTATCCATGGACTATCTAAATCGGGCTCAAGTGCATCTAGTGTGCTAGGAACATCATGATCATTATAAAGTTCAATGCGATATTGATTTGTTAATTGTATAAATCTGACCAGCACTAAAAATAAATTATTAATAGCGAGAGATTCACCCGGGCATATACGGCGCCCGTAACCAAATGGCATATAAGCTGTTGGTTTTGTTTTTATAAATTGTCCATGTTTGTCAAGAAATCTATCCGGTTCAGATTTGTCAGCATTTGTCCAATACTTTGGGTCAGTCATAACGCTTGATTGATGGAAAACAACTTGTGTGTTTTTAAGCACGGTAAAGTCACCTATTTTTATTTTAAAAAAGCACAAGTTATTATCAATCTTACAATATTTAATAAGTGGCAAATATATAATGAACAAATAAAAATGCTTTATAATAAAATTATAATAACCTAGTTTGCTGTCATTTAACATCTTATGGGGAACACCAATTGGAAATGGAGTTTTGTATCGCAATATTTCCGATATAAACGCCATCGTGTAGTTTAGTATCGATTTATCTTTAATGACAGGCATACAATCACCAAGTTCGTTGTTTATTTCATCGCGTAACTTATTCTGATAATCAGGGTAATATGCTATAAATAACAGAGACCATAGAAATGAGGTCTGAGTAGTTTCCGTGCCACCTATTACTCAAATCAAACATTATAAATTTTACAAAGTTTACAAGTTTGTTATCGTAAGTATTATGTTAATATGTTTTTATTAAAACTCATCTAGCACAACACGATCTTCACTACCTGTTAACATGTCGATCAAAGCCGCCGGTAGGTTATCATCGGTAAGATAGGGTGCCGTCTGTTTGTCGTCGGCAATGGCCTCGTGTTTAGCGGCGATAAGTATATCACAAAAGTCACACAAATTCTCGCTGTCGTGAGTCTTGTCGTGTGTTTGATATATATTTCGCGTATAAGTCATTAAATCAGTGAAGTATTGCTTATATTTAGCCAACGGATCGGCCATTAAATACTGTAATACCGGTACAAACTGGTAGAGAAATAGCGATGGACCTAGGTCAGTGAGGAACTCCGTTATCAGATACTTTGTTTTTATAAACACATCTTGATCGTTATTAATCCTATTATAAATAACATATGTGAGATTAATTAAAATAAATATATTGAACCAGTATAATATTAAATTTTTATATAAAATTATTAAATAAGCTAGAATACTTTTTGCTAAACACAGCGGCACCCATAATATTAACAAACGTGTTGTATGCGTATGGTTTCAGCTTAAATGGTGTATTAATTGCCACATCTTTAGCAATATTGTCAACCATTTGGCGTACATTTTCGTCCACCACTTCAGACAATGCCTTAGATTTCGCGTATTTTCTAAATGTTTATTTAGTTTTAAGATTAATTTTTGAATTTTCTAATTAAATAAATGTTAATGAGAATAATAAATAAAACAAGATTGTTTCTTTAAAAAAGTGCTAACGTTTAGGAATTTCCTAGTTCTTATATAATCAGTATTAAATTTAATTGTCATGCAAGGAAAAATAAAAAACAAAGTTACATATAATACGGGGGTGAGAGGGTAGTGAAAACTATAGAGGGAATAGAAAACAATAGTAGATAACGTGGTTTACGGGCCTCGTATAAACATATTTACATAAAACAAAACCTTGACCTTTCTATATTACAATTGTGGACAAAAATACTCATTATTCTCATATACAATATATACATTTTATATTTTTAAATAATTATAGATATTACCGAATAGCCGTCAGCGATACTCGGCGTAGACTTTCCAAACATTTACCAGGATCATTAAATACCATATCCGCGTGTTTTTCGTTATTGTATATTTTACCTTGTTAACATATACATTACATTATTATTAGAATATTAGTTTTGTTAACAATTTACATATTTAAATATTAATTGATTAATTATGTCAATTTACTCACCAAATAATAAGTCAATTCTACCGGAAAAATCACATTTATTAAACGCCTGGCGACCCATATCGAGGTCGCATATAAACACGAATGGTAAGGGACCGATCCATAGGGTAAACACCGGGCCATACACCTTGCTCAGTTTGGAGACCTCTGCATGCCATGCAAGTTTGTGGTTACGAAACACTATATATTTTATTAAATATATTATAGTTAATAAATCATTTATCTATTCGCATATATACTTATCATTATAATTAATAGATTACAAATTATTTAATAATGTTATTAATTAGAAAATAATCGCATACTTAATACATTTCCAATGAGAGGGAGTGGAGTAGGACCAGGTGGATAATTATTTAGGTTTGCGTAGAATGTAATTAAATAATAAATTCCAATGCCAATTAGCAAATATGCGCCGGTAACAATTATTTCGTTGCTATTTTTTATGACAAATGTAACTAATTGTTATAATTTTTAATTTCTCTTGCCCTCTCTCTCTCTCTCTCTCTCTCTCTCTCTCTCTCTCTAATCAATCATTTATTATGATAATCATTATATCAATAATAGAAAATTATTATAATTTACCTTAATACATCCATATTCATTTAATCAGTTAAACAAAAATCATTTTAATTACTTTTATGTCAAATATGGCAAAACAACAAGTATTTATGTTATCGAAAACACCGCATATAAAACTTTATATATAAACAGCTTTTTAAGAATAATCTGTAATACAAATATACTGTACGAGAATAGCAATGTTCTCAGAAAATAAGTATGATGTACATGTCATTATTAATGACTCATTAATTAAGCATAATATACATAATTAAGCATAATAATATTAGTATTTAATACCATAAATTGCATACAATATTTTTATTTTATTTTCAAAATAATATTCTAAGACTTGAGATAAGGTTTGTTTAACTAAATCAAACTTTACCATATTCTATAAATTCACGTCAGCACATATAAAGCCGCAATTAAACAACATATGAGAGGCACATTACGTATGAAAATATTGACCATGGTCAGCTACTATAATATAAATAACATTCTACTGTATATAAATGAATTGTGTTTACAAATTGGTGGATATAATATATTTTTAAGAGACATTGTATTATTTTATTGTTTAACAATATTTATCATTTTCATTGTGTGTGTGTGTGATTAAACTTGTATTTAACTTACAAGTAAACTATCGGATCAGCCACCAAGATATCTTCACGAATTGTCTCTATTCTGATAGATTAAATAATAAAAAATAATTTAATAATAATAAATTTTGCTGATACCCATCTAGGGGGGTGTGGGAGGCATTCAAACACAACAAACATGTATAAATAGGCAGTTAAGTATATTCATAAATTATAAGCTTGGTAGTCCTGTGGT